CAAAGAGCAATAAAAACAAGCTAAAAACTCCCAGAACAAACAAAAACTGTGATCCACAAATGAACTCCTTAACAGGTCAGAGGTTAATTTATAGTCTCACGTTTGCCAAATTAAGATTATTTGAAATTCTTTCAAAGAAACAATATATGGCAGCCATGCTGTTAAAGTAACCAATCCTTTGCCTCTGGTTAAAATAATTAACAATTTAATTATATGAGTTGAGCTGGCTAATTTTAAGACAATTTCAGCTTTTTGCTCCCTGTGGGCAGAATAGAATATGTTTTAAAACCAGTTACATAAGTTTATTGATTCAAATGTCTCTAAATTTTCCCTTTAATATGCCTCTCAAGCCTGGTACAAACTGTCCAGAGATCATTATAGCTGGTACATAACTTTCCCAGAGAAGCAAATGGAGAGGCAACCATGTCCTAATTGGTTGAACTGGTAAAAATGTGCTCTATTGTATTTCTGTTCTAGGAAGGGGTCATGCTTAGGTTGGTGTAAATTAATACAAGAAAAGATAAAAGCTCAGAAAGACAAACGGAATATTTCAATTTATCATTCCATTCAATCCCGCCACTACAAGGTATTTCTTCTCCCGTAGTACTTGGGCAAATATCCTTTGCCATTGGAGGAATGAACCACAAGAACACAAGTTTAAGTATAGGTTTAAGAAGGGTTAATAGACAGTCAAAATTCCTCCCATTAGAAGAAAATTGCTGGAAAGGTATTAGTAGTTAAAGAGAAAATTATTGGAGAGAAAATCAAGTAAGGAGATGAATTAACGAGACCTTATTACTCTTTTCAGAAGAATAGCAAGTTGGACTCTGATTGGCAATTTCCAATTTAGCTAAATCCAATCATTATTACAATTTTAAATAGTAAATCCCTCCCTGATGTTCCAACTTGTTTTTTTCCAATCTCCAGAAAATTATGTCTGGAATGTGTTTTGGGTAGGTCTCATTTGTAGGGTTTTTGATGCTTTCTGAGATTTGTTGTTTTCTTGCAGATGTTTCATTAACAAACTAGTTAATATCAGTGCTAATAGGAAGTGGGGTTTGCTCTCATTTCATTTATTAGTGGCTTGCCCTATCAGTGTTGGTGGGACTGGTCTTGATGATTCCTTGATTAAGCTGTTGTTTACTGTTAGTTTGTTTTGCAGTTCCTTGGTCTCATTTTTCATGTCCTCCTAGCCAGTGTGTGCCCATCTTTGATATAGAAGTACTGATGTGAAATAGGATTCTTCCTGGTCAGTCTGGCAGGGCTCTTTTCATTAGTCACATCTTCATATAAACCAATCATTCTAGCATAACTTTTTAATCAAGGTGATCAGTAGGTAGTAGACAATCATTGTGTTCCTCCTATAGTTTATGATAATTCCATGTACCCAACAGTGTATTTAATGTGTTAATATTGCTCCATAACAAGTTTCTAAATGGACTTAAACTGAACAGTTTTAACTTTCTGCTGTGAAATGTGTGCTTTGGACCCAAATTTCCTTATTAAGAACTGAAAATGTTCAGTCTAAAGTTCACATATTCAGAAACTTAAAATAAAACATAAATGCCTTTTTTGGTAATTATTTTCTATTGTTATTTTGGGATCGTAATAGTGCTGTCAGATACATATTTTTGCCTCATACTTGTGTTCCCATCTTTTACTACCTTGGTTACTCTGTTTAGCTAAAAAGAAATTTAAAAGAAGATACATAATCAAGGGTGTTAATAAATTTTGGTCGGCAGGCAGTGCTTTTGACCTCTTGAATCCAAAGCGATCTTCCCTGTCCTAAATAACTTGATATAACATGTATTGTATTCAAATAAATATACCGTAATACTAAGTGAACCTAGTCAAGCTCTTGCAGCATTGTACCATATGTGGTTCTGCTTTGTGTACCATCAACAAAAGTGACATCTCATATTGATTTGTTGGTTTTTGTGCTGAAAACAATTCAGTTTTCATACTCTTGTTCCTACTTAAAGTGATCAGTAAAGGAAAAATCCCCGTTGTTATCGATGACTGACAAGTTAATTTAACATAAAAATGTGCAAGTAGGATAAATCTAGGGCTAAAACAGAAGTTTTCTTGCCTGTGAAGTATAGGCTTTTAACTAGTGAAGTTCAGTTTGGTTATAAGTATTGGCTTATGAGAATAAAACTGTATTTAATTTTTTAAATTCTTCCTTCAGCTCTGATTAATCTGTTGAAGTTCCTCATGTCTAACGAAACAGTTTTGCTGGCAAAATATAACATCTTTACCTTGGCTCTGATGGTGAGTATCTATGGAAAGAAATGAGCCCTACCAGGGATAAAGAACCCTTGATTTTTAATTTATTTTTAAGGGAACCTTTAAACATCTACATGAAGCTGCTGGCACCAAGTGAGGTATTATCATTATGTTTATGATACCCTACTATGCTGCTACAGGCTACATGGAAAATGGGGGGAAAATATGGAAGCTTCCATGGCTTAGATGGGGAGAAATGGGCTCAGACTCAAACCAGTGATGATAGAATGGTTGCTGGTTCATTAGTAAACTGATTCTGGAGTGATATCAACTTTGGCACTTGATGAGTTTCTGCTCCACCCTGAAAGACCAGACTCACAATCTTGGGATCCTCCTGGATATATGGCTTCTGCTAGCACTTGTCCAGTGCAGCTGGTGTAATGTCTCAGCCAGAACAAGACAAGGTTATGTACACCCTTACCTCCTTGTACCTGAATTATTGCAACTCATTCTAATGGGGCTGTCCTTCATAAGCTAATAAAAATACATATGAAAACTTGAATGGGACCATCCTTCAAGACTATCTGAAAATTTCAAATGAATGCAATATGCAATGGCCATGTGCTTACTGGGCAATTCCAATATACTGTCATGTTATTTCACTACTGATGGAGCTCCATTGGTTACTGATCTGTTTCCAAGTTTCTCAAGGAGCTTTATTACAAAAAAGCTGTCTATGGCTTGGGATCTGGCTATTCTAGAAATCATCTATCTCAAGTAAATTGTTCCTGTATGAATAGGGAGGGCCTGCTAAAGATCCCCTCCTATCAGGAAGTTTTACAGAATGGGGCACAAAGGTGGGTATTTTTAGTGGCTGATTCCCTCCTTTAGAACTGTTTACTCCCTTGGAAAGAATGGCTTATCTCAAAATAGCTGAAACCTGGATTTCTGGAAGGCTAGTTGATTAGCTGCTAGAGGAATTACCATGGCATTTTTGCTTATTATTGCTTAGTTTTATTTTTATTACATTGTGCACTTGGTAGAGGCTCTGGAGTGAGGAGGTTAATAAATCACATACATAGATATATACAAATCCTGTGCTAAACCAGGTTAAGAATATTACTTTATATTTTATGTTATTTTAGTTCAGTTTAGGAACTTGTACCCTCTATTATAATACTTACATGTGCTTTATTAAATTTATATGCCCCCAATTCCTAGCAAGTCTGAGCAGTTTACAATTATTAAAACATTTTAAAACAAAGAACATTAGAAAACGCAAAACAGTGACAAACAAACCAAACCAAACCAAACCAAAGGGGAACAGAAAAGAAGAAAAAGATATCAATCATTGCTGCCAAAGGCCTGGAGACAGAATTGGATCCAGGTTAGGAATATTCCCTTTAGATACTTTTTGGAATGTATATAGAAGAAGAAATGTTTTAATATGTACTGAATTGAGCACCATATTATGGAGAGGTGTGTTTTTTATGTGTCACAATTGGAATCCACCAAAAAAAAAATCTTTCAGTGCTTATTCATGTTCTAATATGAATGATCTTTGTGGCTTTAGGCAGGCTGGAAATGAATCTTTGGAATTCTGTTTGCGGCTTGTAAATGAGGAAAGAGCTTATTGCAGTGATCTGTCTTTAAAATGTTGATTGCTAAAAACCTGAAAATCCAAATGTTTCATAGCTGGGCAGCCAAGAAAGTACGGTTTGAATAGTAGTAAATTGGAGAATGTCATTTTATTGTTTTTTCCATGAAATATTTGTATTTATTGCTGACAGTGGAGGTACTTTTTATTTTTAACTTCACAGCAGATATGCTTAAGCTCCAAATTTTCCTCTTCTAAAGTGCTTACTAGGATTAAAATGGTGGAAAATAGCCACTCATGCACAGCAATCCTGCAGTGAGGGAGTTTCAGAAGCTTAGGGGCCACGTGTAGTCCAGAAGATCCAGAGAAAATTAGAGAGTTGAATAAATTCATTCTCTTTCTTTCCATTTGTTTCCCACACAATCAACAATACGGGCACAACTGTTCTTACATGTTTTCCTTGACATTTTGAAATGTCTTTAATTTTGGCTTTTGATTTATGCTTCTACATAATTATAAGTCCCTTAAGAAACTCGAATATATAGAAACAGCTTGCCTGGGTTGTTTTTTGTTTTTTTTAGTGACTTCATTTTACTTCTAAGCCGGTACACATTCAACCATGCAAATTTGCCTTTTTGGTGAATGATATTTGCTCTCACTGTTGTCATGGGTGACTGTAGGTCCTGATGAATTTGTCAGGTAAAGAAAATACACTTTTTATGTATGAAAGCTAAATGATCGCTTCAATACTGTTAATGTTAGGATATGTTGGTTTACATAGTTAGTATTTTTATTTATTTAATAACCTTTTATTTTGCCCAGAGAAGTCCTGTTTCTGTTTGATTAAATAATAAAGTTAATATATTTTTATTCAGTAATGCCTGTAATCTTTTTTTTAAGGTGATAAACCTGTTTAATATGTTCATCACTTACGGAGATACCTTTCTTCCAACTCCTAGCAGCTACGATGAGCTTTATTATGAAATAATCAGGATGCACCAGAGTTTTGATAACCTATATTCCATGGGTAAGTAATGTTAGGTGACTTGACTTTATGTTAATGTAACATTTGTATAAGTGTCGCTAAGAGCAAATAATAATGTATGATTGCTCTTCAATACATATGCTTTCATATAATTTTAATTAACCTTTAATACATGACTTGAAATAATCCTTTAAAAGACATTCCAGGCTAAAGAGATGTTTAAAAATGGCTCTTTCTTAAGCTGATATAAATAATAATAAATGATATGGTAATATATAAATAATATAGTCAGGGGATCAGAGGATCACCTGGCACACTGATATGGCTGCTGCATGTGAAAGTATGGTTGCTGCTGTTTCCTGGCATATAATAAATAGTAACAAAAACACACCATGTCCATTTAGGATGATCCTATTTGGCATGTGTAGAATGCTCCCAGTTGGGAAACTACACCTTACTCTCAGATCAGAGAGTAAGCCAAGCTCCCAGAACCATTTAGCTGCAGGGAAGCATTATTGTAAACATGAAGTGAAAACAGGAAGTTGTACTTTCATCTTATTCTGATGAAAGCCCAGTAAGATATTGTCTCCAAAGAACATAGAGCGCATCATGGAACCAGGTCAGTGCTTCAAAGAAATTCAGTCAGAAAACAGCTTGTGTAAATTGGAAAGGCAGAAAAATAATGCTATCTGGAAATAATATTTTTGGGTGAGGAGTGGAGGTGGTAGAACAGTGCATTTACTATTGCTATAGGGGAGTGGGGGGCAGTTTTTCTGTAATTGGAAAACTGGATTTCTTAATGGAGGGCCAAAGCTATAAATGTGTGATAAATTCTTTTCTCTTTCCCCTGTTTATGACATGTAATTCTCTGATGTACAACCCTATTCCCCATTTGCATTCATGCGTATAAAAATCATCACCACATCAATCCTTTATTTATATAGTAAATATCAAGATCACGAGAAGTGATAATGCCACTTTATATTTCATTAATGAGGCCACACTTGGAATACCATGTCCAGTTCTTATCCTCATGATACAAAAAAGATGTGAGACCCTAGAAAATGTGCAGAGAAGAGCAACAAAGATGATAAAGGTCCAGCTAAACCATATGATGAATAGTTGAGAGAGCTAGGTATGTCTAGCCCAGAGGTAGGCAACCTTGGCTCTTTTATGACTGGTGGACTTCAACTCCCAGAATTGAAGTTGTGTATGGTTGCGATGGTAACGGCAGACTAAAAAATTCAATCAATTCCAACTTTGCAAGATCTTTTTTTTTCCCCGCGAGAAGTTGAAATTGACTGGTTGAACCTTTTTTTTTTTTTTACACATGGCGGAGGCCTAAAGCGAAAAGGTTTTATAAAACCCAGTTGAAGGCCTAGGACTGGGGCGACGGCGCATGTGCCCACAGAGAGGGCTCTGAGTGCCGCCTCTGGCATCCGTGCCATAGGTTCGCCACCACTGGTATAAGGTCTCCTGCCTTGAGGAGGTTAGACTAGAAGACCTCCAAGGTCCCTTCCAGCCCTATGCTTCTATGTTCTATATACACCACTATCTTTCTAATTACATTATCTCCTTCAATTCACTGAGAATTCTAAGTTAGCTTAGAAGGAGTGGTATCGGGATGTTGAAACAGTACGGTAGTGCGCAGTGGAAGTTAAGGACTCTTTAGCCAGCTTCCCATTTCCTGGCTGCCAAGGAAACTGCATGCCAGTTTAAAGAAGAAATATGGTTCTTCTAAGTTTGATTATTAAGGAGATAGTAGCTTAATAATTAATTTAATAATTTATGTTTTCAGCAAGCTTGTCTTCTACATGTAGCATAGAAAGCATGCATTGTGTTTTATGTATCTAGACATATTTGGAAAGGGATGAGATCTGCATATTAAGTGTTTTACTATGAATGTATGTATTCATATTGGGGATGGACAGTACACGAAATAAACATGTACCTGAACATTTCATTTTTTTTTACTGTTCCTGAAGTTTTCAAAGAGTGTTTCTGAAATTTGCCAGCAAAGCTATGAAACAGAACATCACAATTTTATGTTACGTTTGAACAAGAAACTGAAGAAAATAGTATATTAAGATTTCAGTAGGCTTAAGATAACATCTTCTATTAAAACTCTTGTCATAACCTTTAACTGAGCAAAACGGTGCATCATAGGGCAACAATTGTTGAACCAAGGTACTCAAATAGACTAACTTACAGAATGTGTCCAAAATCTGCCACCCATGAGTCCTGAAGGAATGAAATTTGGGAAAGTGGTGTCTACTGAGTAACGATTATTTTCAACATTCTGTGACAGTTTTTAAGCTAGTCTCTCTGCCACCCAGCATCAGCCACTTACGAGGGAGGCAGGGAGGGAGTGAAGGGAAGGAAGGAAGGAAAGAAGGAAGGAAGGAAGGAAGGAAGGAGGGAGGGAGGGATGGAAGGAAGGAGGGAGGGAGGGAGGGAGGGAGGGAGGGAAGGAAGGAAGGAAGGAAGGAAGGAAGATTTATGATCCTGCTTGCCAGATTCCCACAAGGAAAACGGGGAAGCTGGCAGGAAGTTGGAACTCACTCCTACTCCCAATGACCTACCCTGGTGATTCTGTTTCTCTATTTAAGTTAAGAAATATCTCTGAAATGATGACCCAACAGGGCACGGTTTGGCTTAGTTGCTTTTAAATGCCAGGTCTCTCCCCATCCAATTTCCCAGAAAATATAAAAAATTGAACGTTCTGTCCCCATCTCCTCCAATAATAATGTATCCTATTGCCTGTCCCTGTGAATGCTGAGACAGTTAAAAAAAATGGGCTGGGAGGAAATGCAGTCCCAAGCCACAAAAAATTGGAAATTCTTGAGCTGTAGTCAAATAGGTATCATAGAATATTTTCTTTCTTTCTTTCAGTTCTAAGGCTTTCTACTAATGCTGGCCAGTGGAAGGAGCCAGCCAGTAAGGTGACTCATGCATTGGTCAACATACGGTAAGAAAGGGGGGGGAAAATGCAGATTTTTTCTTTAACTCTATGCTTTTTCATTTTCCCAATTTTTTTTTAAACAACAAGACGCATTTTAGATTTCTCAACTCAGGTTGAGATAAGTGAAAGATAACATTGTAAGCGTGTAACATCGTGTTTATTTTCTGTAATTTTAAATGTGAATAAATGGCTAATAATTTTTCCTTATTAGCAAGTATCTTGGCCAGTAGTTTGAGAGCTGAGGTTTTATTTAAAAAAAAACAACCAGTAACCAGTATTGCCAATTTGCTTGGAACAAATAGGAACATAATAATCCATGTGACTTTTTTATAATGGTCATATTTTACTATGTTATACTGTAATGACATCCTCAAATCAAACTCATTCCTGAGCAATATATGAAACTTTTCAGATGGTGATGCTTAGCAAACTATTTGTAGGTGGCCCCTGAGTAATCTAGCTGCTTTTTAAGGAGGTATTGAGCCATACATGTATGTATTCAAGAAGGAAGGACACCTCAGAGCAATATCTTTGTTGCTATAGTAACCCACAAGACAATTGGCTAGAACTTTTTCCTGTGACAGCATTTGCTTATGAATGAAATCAGCTGTCATTCTTTTAGGACAATAATGGCTAATAGTGTCACTCTGTCACTCTCAGTACTTTCACATTGGAGAGCTAAACCAAATCAAATAAATATTTGTTATGGTCATAAACAATGAAAAGATAAATTTATGGCTCAACACATCCTTAAAGAGCAGCTAGATCTAGCAAATCTACCGAAAGTACTCTGCTAACCATCACTATCTGGAAACTTCTCCTTTCCCCAGGGGATCACATGTGGCTTTCCTCTGTTTACACTATCATTTTTATATTTGTGTGTTTATATACCATGTGTTCTCAGTCTAGCTAGATGTCAAGTGTATTGGATTCCCCACGGTAACACAAGCAGCGTTTGATTGCAGCCTTTGGTTATCTTGAAAGTACAATTGCTTTTACAGTTTCATTCCCCTTAACACATCTTATCTCTGCCACCATTTCTCATCCTGAGACATGGCAAGGAAGAACTTGAGATAAAATGCTTTTTTGACTCAGCACAGGATAACTGGGCTTAAAAAGCTGATTTATTGGAAAGGACTCTCTGGATACTAAATGTTCCTGGGAGGCAGTGAATGATATGCATGTAAGCTTTCCATCTTCACCATTTCTAGTTACAATGCTTTTGCAATCCAAAGCCGTCTGGTCACACAATAATATTGTTGCAGCTGCCAATGATTCTGACCCTGGGAAGGTTGGGGATTTATTGGGGTGGAGTAAGTAAGACAGGTAGATGGTCAAGAAGAGAGTGACAGGAGAGAGATTGAAAGAAACTCCACCATCAAGCATCTACCTGAAGGGGAGGGAAAGTTGCCAACAATTGTTGCTTTTTGGAAGAAGAGCCAATCTCCACAGAGATGAAGAGGGGAAGATTTTCTCCCTTACCTGCCTCTTTGAGACCAGAGAAAGAGGAGGTAGATCTTTGTTCCTTCCAGACATATATAGGAGAAGTAGGTGGAAAATTGAGGGGAGGAGGATGTAGAACTAGAGTTTCTTAGGGCAGAAATATTAATTATGTCAACAATTACTACCGAAATTGCTTAACTTAACCTAGCTCCAAAATTTAAAAATACCAGCTAAGTACCACAGTGAGAGTCAGTTTGGTGTAATGGTTAGGGCAGTGGTGGCGAACCTATGGCACGGATGCCAGAGGCGGCACTCAGAGCCCTTTCTGTGGGCATGTGCGCCGTCGCCTCAGTCCTAGGCCTTCAGCTGGGTTTTATAAAACCTTTTCGCTTTAGGCCTCCGCCGCCGTGTGCAAAAAAAAAAAAAAGGTTCAATCAGTCAATTTCAACTTCTCGCGGGAAAAAAAAGATCTTGCAAAGTTGGAATTGATTGATTGAACTTTTTAGTCCCACCCAGTCTGCCGTTGTCACGGCAGCTATGCCCACCCAATTGGCCACGCCCACCCAATGGGCCACACCCAGCCAATGGGCCACACCCAGCCGGCACTCGATGATGCATAAGTGGGTTTTGGGTTGCAGTTTGGGTACTCGGTCTCTAAAAGGTTCACCATCACTGGGTTAGGGTATCAGGCTAGAAATCAGGAGACCATGAATTCTTGTCTCACCTTGGCCATGAAGCCAGCTGGGTGACCTTGGGCCAGTCACTTTCTCTCAGTCTTAGGAAGGAGGCAATGGCAAACCATTTTTGAGGAAACATTGCCAAGAAAACTGCAGGGACTTGTCTGGACAATTTTTGAGAATTGGACTTGATTGAATGTAAGAAAAAATGTACTATAGTAGTCAAGCTATATAAAAGGTATAAAAAAGCAGCACAATAATTAACTGTTGTGGGTGTAAGAACAGTTTTCATGTTGGCAGAGGGCAATGAACTGTTTAAAGTGAATTTGTTCTTGTATACAATAAAAGGTGCTGAGTGTCTGTAAACTGTTCATTAGCGTATGCCAAGATCAAGCCAGAGAACAGAACCTTTCCATGGAAATGTTCCTAGAATAGGGAGTCAAAGCAAAGTGGAGGATGTTTGCCAGAGGAATGTTCAAAAAACAGTCTAGCTGCTACTTCCTCTCTACAGTAGTTTCACGGACATTTATTTACAATAATTGATTATCTCTTTGCAATGGGGAAGCAGATATTAAAGAAATAAAGCAACTTTTTTTGACAATTCAATAGTAAAGGATAGATTTTTTAATAGTATAAAATGCTAATTTGAGCATTATGCCCAATCCTTTTCATTCTACATCAGGAATCTAATTGCTATCACCACCACAGTAACAATTAACTCCTTAATGTGATTTGAATGAGAAATTGATTTTCATCTATTATTTTTGTGAATTAACAGATTCTGATTGTGTATTTTTCATGTTGCAAACAAAGAAGACAGCATAAGTAGACATTCTTTGTGCATTTTAGATTAGATTCTCAGTTCTTTTAAATAAGGCAGTTGCTAATGCATTTAAATTCTCCAATTACTATGTTGTTAGTTGCAAAGTCATGTCCGACCCATCGCAACCCCATGGACAACGTTCCTCCAGGCCTTCCTGTCCTCTACCATCTTCTGGAGTCCATTTAAGCTCATGCCTACTGCTTCAGTGACTCCATCAAGCCACCTCATTCTCTGTCGTCCCCTTCTTCTATTGCCCTCAATCTTTCCCAGCATTAGGCTCTTCTCCAGTGAGTCCTTTCTTCTCATTAGGTGGCCAAAGTACTTGAATTTCAACTTCAGGATCTGGCCTTCTAAAGAGGAATCAGGGTTGATCTCCTCTAGGACTGACCGGTTTGATCGCCTTGCAGTCCAGGGGACTCGCAGAAGTCTTCTCCAGCACCATAGTTCAAAGGCCTCAATTCTTTTGCGCTCAGTCTTTCTTATGGTCCAACTTTCACAGCCATACATTGCAACTGGGAAAACCATGGCCTTGACTATACATACTTTTGTTGGCAGGGTGATGTCTCTGCTTTTTAGTATGCTGTCTAGATTTGCCATAGCTTTCCTCCCCAGGAGCAAGCGTCTTTTAATTTCTTGGCTGCAGTCCCCATCTGTGGGGATCTTGGAGCCCAGGAAGATAAAATCTGTCATTACCTCCACTTCTTCCCCATCTATTTGCCAGGAATTGAGAGGGCCAGATGCCATGATCTTGGTTTTCTTAATGTTGAGTTTCAAGCCAACTTTTGCACTCTCCTTCTTCACCCGCATCAAGAGGCTCTTTAGTTCCTCTTCACTTTCTGCCATTAGAGTGGTATCATCTGCATATCTTAGGTTGTTGATATTTCTCCCGGCAATCTTAATTCCAACTTTTGATTCATCTATCCCTGCCTTTCTCATGATGTGCTCTGCATATAAGTTAAATAGGAAGGGCGATAGAATACAGCCTTGCCGGACTCCTTTCCCAATTTTGAACCAATCAGTGGTTCCGTGTCCAGTTCTCACTGTTGCTTCTTGACCCGCATATAGGTTTCTCAAGAGACAAATAAGATGGTCTGGTATTCCCATCTCTTTAAGAACTTGCCACAATTTGTTGTGATCCACACAATCAAAGGCTTTAGCGTAGTCAATGAAGCAGAAGTAGATGTTTTTCTGGAACTCCTAGCTTTCTCCATGATCCAGCATATGTTGGCAATTTGATCTCTGTAAGATACAAGAGTAAAATTGTGCTAGCCATGTTATTGCATGTTTCCCAGCATGTAGCAAGAATTCTGGATGAATACCACAGAATGGGACAACTTTCCACAGCCGGGTCGCCATTGTTGGCTCACCCTGGCCAGGTCACCACAGGACAACTTGCCATGTGCAACTTGCCGCAGGACAACTCAGCACAGGAGAATACAAGAGGCGACCTGCTTCTTCTCTTTCTTCCTCCCTCCCTCCCTCCCTGATCCAGCTCCCGCACCCCCAATATCCTTTGAACTTTGTGGCAGAAACTGCTGTGCACCAAAAAGTGTGTGACTCTCTCCAAAGTGATTGTTTTTCTGTTCGGAGAGGAAGTCCCTCTTCCCCTCCTCACTTTGTGCTCCCCGATTTTTTCCCCCCAGTCTGAGCTACAAAGGAGGAGGAGGATATTCCCCTCATCTCTGGCATTCTCCCACTGTGAGTTGTCCTGTATTGAATCGGCCGGGGTGAGCCAGCGGCAACGACCAGCAGCGGTAAGTTGTCCTAGACTCTGGATACCTGACTTAAAATACATCGCTATGAGAAGACCTCAGGAAAACAGTCCGCCTAAGGACTTAACATGTAGAAGTCTCAGATCAACCATTCCAAATTAACGTAGAAGAAATAAGCAGAGCTAAGTACCAGTACCTGTTGAGGATCTCACTAGAAAATAATATTGACTTAATTGTTTCTAATGTTAAAATGGATATAGAAATTGCATTTTGGTGATGAGGTCTTCCTTATATTTGTCCCCTCACTTAAAAAAATTGTGCGTGGAGAGGTTGTATTCATTCATTACTCTG